GCATTCGATACTGTTAATCATAATTTTTTATTAGCAAAATTGCATAACTACGGTGTAAGGGGTCATATTCATATATGTTAGAGTGTTATTTGAATAATAGACAACAATATGTTCAATATAATAATTCTAATTCTAATTGCAAAACAGTCCTATGTGGCATTCCACAAGGTTCAGTTATTGGACCAAAACTCTTTTATTTTGTTTATTAATGATATTTATGAGGGTATCAGTAATATGAGTCTTTTATTATTTGCTGATGACACAACAGTTTTCAATTCGGGAAGCAATTTAAATAAATTAATAATGAACATTGCAAGGGAAATGGTTAACTTAGCAAAATGGTTTGATCAAAATAAATTACTTTGAATTGGGGCAAAACAAAATACATGATATTTGGCACAAGAAAACATGATGAACATGAAAAGATCATTGTTGATGATATTAACATCGAGAAGGTCTCTGAAATAAATTTTTTGGGTGTAATGCTGGATGAGAAATTTAGTTGGAAGCCTCATATAGATTATGTTAAAAATAAAGTGAGCAAAAGTATTGGTATTTTATTTAATGTAAAACAGGTTCTGGAAGAGGCATCATTACTCCTTCTTTATTCCACATTAATTGTTCCATATTTTACGTACTGTATTGAAGTGTGGGGCAATGCATGTAAAAATGTTTTAGAACGATTATGGTTGCTTCAACAAAAAGCAATAAGAATTATAAATTCTAAAAGCCCAAGGGAGCACACAAATGACCTTTTCATTAAATCTCATGTTCTGAAATTCAAAGATATTGTTGATTTTAAAATTGTAATAATGATGAGTAAGATATCCAAGGGGTCGTCACCAGAACCTTTATTAAATTTGTTTTCATTCATCACGGACAGTAACAGCAGAAGGAAAGGAGATTTTCGAGTGCCCTTTTCAAGAACTGCACTAAAACAGAGGAGTTTTTCAGTAAATGGAGTGAAGCTGTGGAATTCCCTAAACAGAGAGTGTAAAGAGGCAAATACTATTCTATACTCAATTAAAATATAGATTTAAGAAAAGTGTAATCGAAGGATATAAAAGCCAATAAGTTGGGGGGAGGAGGGGATTTGTGTTCTGTAAATACTGACTGAAGGCCATCTATGTTTCGTTTATGTCTTGTTTGTTATAGGGGCACATTTTATAAGACTTGTCTTCCTCGTGCTCCTATTCTGCCATGTTTTGTTGTTGTGATGTACAATACAATGGGCATATTAAAAAAATAAAATAAAAACATGGCTGAATAAACAAATAAAAATGAAATGAAATGAACCAATGGCAGAAGAATAATGGCACAATTTGCAGCTACAAGTAGGCCTTAGTTTAACTGAATGTAATGATTATGTTGATGATTTTCCAGTCAGTTGCTTTTGTCTGCCAGTGGAGGTCGTCATGTTTCATCAGCATGAAGCATTAATGCAGCATGTTACCAAGCTGGTCATGACTTCAGCACGCGCTCCATGCATTCAAGTTATTCAGCCATGTGCAGACAGTCGCATGTTTGTCGCGTGTTGTTTGTGTGTTGTATGTTATCTATGCTGGAGGGTAAACATAGGAAGTCTTGTCTGGGGTCTGGTTAAGTAAGAGTATGAGAAGGGGAAGGAGAGCGCACAAAGGTCGCGTTGTGTAACAGATATCATGTGGGCTCCAAAGGCCAGCAGGATTTTATGTTCTTCTTTTGTTCTAACTCGAGATTAATTGTGCCTGAACCAAATCTCTCAGCAATTCAGCCAATATTTTTTTCATATATTTAAATAATTAAAAAAAAAAAAAAAACAATAACCTTTTGTCCTTTAAAACCCTATAAACACAAGAAATAACAATGGGTTTTTTTTCAAATTGCCATTTTTATTCAAAAATATTTTACACAAGATATTAAAAATGCATTTAAATCACAACACTATAAAAAACTGTTTTTCATAATGCACATTTTGCTGACAGACATTGAGTCAGAACTGTCAGAGAAAATCTGTGTTCATTCACATTCTTACGTACAGTAATCATAGTCATTATCATCCAGACTGCAGAGGTATTTAAAGGATGCAAGGATAGAAACTGCATATTTGACAGTAAAAAAAATCCCAAAGAAAAAGTGATGTACTCTAAACTCAAACTCCCATCCATTAAATAAATGCCAACATAGCACTAGTATACCTTTAACTCTTTGGCAAATTATGATCATATTACAGCAAATTTGTCAGCTGGACCAGAAACAAGTAGTCAGATGTAAGTTATAACAGAAACTGTAAAGATTGAACAAACAGTTAAAGCTGTGGCCATTAAAAAAAAACATCAGCATCTTCAATCAGCATCAGTTTCATTACAACTGAAATCCAATTTTCTTTATCCAAGTTTACGCAGAGCGTGTCTGAAACACTTAGGTGCAGTTTAAACACCTGAAAGTGTACATCCACATGAATTAAAACTGAAATAGAGCAAAATACAAAATTTTTGTGCTCTTTCCCTTCAGAGCACCTATTTTCGGCTGTACCGTAAATTAAATGATACCGTAATAGTATTTTATGGATTTGAAAGCGTCCGTACAAATGAAACTTAAACTACAGAAAATTACTCATAATGTCAGTATTTTTTTCTAATTCATACTACTAAAGATGAATTTCAGTAGGTTTAGTGTACTAATGTGTTTTTAGGAATGTCACTTGGACTACTGGCATTGAGGAAATGTGTTCCACTTTGTGCAGTCATGTTACTTCCAATGAATGTTTCTGACAGTAACAAAACAAATACTCATAAAAATGTTTGTGGAAACATCTGATGCCTATAAATACACTAAACTGCATAGAGGAAAAGATTAATTTAATTGGCTGTAATGTCACACCTATTGCATTAGCCACTTCTCTTTTCTTTTCCTCTGGGTCCTTTGGGTAATTCGTGTAAGTTCTACATTCCTTCAATATGAAATTTGGCAACCACTGTGCTTGCTACGTTCACCTTCTTCATGCTTTTAAGTTTTGCTTTTCCACATCCATAACCTTGTGCTTCTTATAGTCTATGACAAGCATTTGGCAAAACTTAAGTGCACGTGTGTTTATTAGCGTACACATTCTTAAAGCTGTTATGAGAGCTATAAAAATCAAAGTTGAACTGAAATCAAATGTAAATTTTGGGCTGTGAAATCAGTGTATCCATTGTTGGTGCTGGTTTTGAGAATCTATTTTGACCCTAACATTTGTGCATCTGGCACTAATGAAATTTAAATCTATTTTAAACAGAGCAGCTTGTGGGTCATTCTCTAAGTTTTGGGTATAAATTTCCCACAGTGCTTTGTGGGTTGTTACCAGGGAGGCTGTTGTTACAATGGTGCCATATTGTTTAGCTTATAATCGTTCATACTTTTTTCCTAAGTGACTCCATTAAAAGTATGCCAAATCAGCTGTCATCAGCTCCTGTATGCAATGCAACTATAGAAATACTTATGACTGCAATTACATCACACTGATCGTAAAGAACACTTAAAAATGTGGTGATTCTCAAGCACGTTCTGGAGTTAAAGAGGCGCCATTTTTCTGTGCTAACTGAGCGCTTTTCTGGTTGTTTATTTCTGATGGACATCAGAGATAAATATACTCTGAAATGTAGGTTGTGCCATATAGAAAAATAAATGTGTCTATGTGCTTATATTTGACTGCAATTTTTTAGCAATCAGGTGCTAATGGCTGCAAAAGCTGTTTCACAGTCGTCACTGACGCTCCACCAATTGACTGCATTGATCAAGAGATTAAATAAACTAGTCATACTGCAATAACTAACATCTTATCATTTTTAGAACATCCACCTGAGGATGCTCACAGTTTGAAAACATCTGGTCTAGTCAGCTATCTAGACTAACTTGTTGGTTTCAACTTTCTCTCAAACAGCAAAGTTCGTCCCACAGTGTCCAACAGTCTGAGAATTCTTGTTAAAGAAGCAGAAATAAAATATTATATCGATGCTAGTTGGGTACACAGTGCTAAAAAAAAAAGTGCTGTAGCTAGTAATGCACCATAGCTCGTCTTCTAGCAACACCAGAGTGCCAGAAAGTGATCATCTGCCAAAAACTGCAGTCAAACATTCATACAAAAGTGATCTGTTTTACATTTTTCCCAGTGTCTCTGCATTAGTTTACCGGCTCCACAAATTTCCTTGTTAACAATCATTCGGTTACAGGAAACATTAACGTTTTGCAAGGACACAGTTTGCTGTTAGCACGGGGTCACACTGTTGCACATTTTCACTGTTTGACCCAGATAAAGCAGCTTTAGACAGATTTAAACTGAATGAAATAAAACCACATGCTTCCATGGATGGCAATCAGTTTTTGGCAGAGGATCACTTTTTGGCACAATGACGGTTCGCACACGATTCGGCCGTTGCCATGGATAATGCCCAGTTCTGAGGGCTGTTTCTGCAAATACATCCAAAATATCAGAATTACAATTTCCATTCAGATTAACACCAGTGCTTGAATGTGTGTCTTATTAATACCTCTTCAGTCCCATCTGATAAATATCTGGTGTTGTAGCAGCAGGTCTGTGCCTCTCTGCAAAGCTCACTGGTCATTACTGGTTCATTTTTTTCCTCTTGTCAATAACTACCATGGCGATCTGAAGCCACAGATGTGTGCTGATGGTGAAAAGCTTCTGATGTGTTCATCTGCAGCTTTGTTGTACCTCCCAGAAGTCACTGGCTTAATAAGCCAACATTTTCATTTGTTTCTTATAGGAGTGTGGTAAAATTTTACAAAATGATGGACACTTAGCTTTATAATTAGTCACTACTTTATCACTACTTTATATTGGAAAGCTACAGATAACCTGATAGTACAGTGTTTAGTTTGTTCATGTACGTTTTTTTTTCTTAACACTTTTGCCAAGTGCTTGCTCAAAGAGAATCATTGGATTTGTTGGGCTTCTTTCTATTACATGATATTGTGAGGTCTTGACCTTCCTATGTGAAGCACCTGGAGATGAATTATGTTGTGAATTTGCACTATATATATATATATAGAGAGAGAATTGAATTGTGGAGCTGCAGCCAACCTGCAGTAGAACATACAGCAGGAGTTTTACACACAAGTGATTTTTGACTTAGTAAAGATTCATCAAGTCCTAATTGCTCCAGCTGTCTTCAGAAGTGCTAATGACAAAAGAAAAAAAATCTGATTACACTGGTTTTATCCATCTAGGATGTGGAAAAAACAACTTAAACACGGTCTTTTCCTCTCACTGCTACTGTGTCTTCTGTTTCTGGGCAGCAGGGACGTCCAGCCTAATGGTACTCTTTCCAGAGAGGAAAGGGATGATCTTCTCAAACAGCAGGATGCAGCTCGCCACGCCTGGAGACACATGTGGAAGGTTACTTTGCTAATACTCTAGCAAAGATCTGTCAGGTATGAATCATTTAAACAGGCACGAATGACTGGCTGAATCAACAAACTGAGTCCTGTAGAGGACAGCCTTCCTAATATAAGACAAAACACTTGTTTCTCAAATATTGATGTTGGATTTTGACATATGTTACAGGCCACAATGTGAGACAGTTTGGAAATGTGATGAGGAAAATTAGCCAATAAACACAGTGAAACTAAAAGAGAAACAGATGGACAGCTGAAGAATTAATACGGTATCTGTTACACTGATTATTTCTCCATCACATGCTGGAAGAAGGTCGTTTTAATATCCAATTAATCCTCAGACATGAGCAGCTGCAGCAGTGTATTATAACAAGATGTAGAAACAAACAGCCCAGGCTACATGCCCTACATATTATATTTTATTAATATGATAATATTTAGTATATCTACCTTGTAAGATTTTATCTTTGCTGATATTTATTTTCATGTATTCGTGAATTTATGTATTATATATACACAGACTGCATACATTGTACTGTAAGGACAGTTGCCTCAACAGAACCATGTAAATCAGTTAATTTATCATATTTTATAGTTAAGTCATCAGTTATTGCCTGTATAAATGGTTCTGTACGTAGTATGTATTCATTAGAAATGCAGTGCGTGGTGGTGAAAACATGAATGGAGGTTGTGTCTTCAGCAAATAAAAGCGAATGGTAAAATGGTAAAATCTGCCTGTTATGGGGGGTCATGTTTTATAATATTATGTTCATAGTGCTCTTCTTCTCTCTGTTTGCTCATACAGAATTCCTTAGTCTACTGAGTTTGATGGTGCTGTATTAGAAAATTTTTCTCCAAATTTGTCCCACAAACCACATCAGACTCCTCAGAATCCAGCATGATGATATCTGTGAAATGAAAACACTTGAATTGAGCAATTAAGAGTGCATCCACGATAGGACCAGGCGGGGGTGGCACAAGCCATCTCACCGATTTCAATGAAAATTTGCCAGTTTAAAGGGACCCACCCAAAACTACTTCAGTCTAAGTTTAAGGAAATTTGGTCAAACTGGGGGGGATTTCACCACCCCTCCTTGGTTTTTTTGCAAAAAGATGGAACGATTGAGGTAGAATCATGTGCCTTCTCTTCTGTCTTTATCGCTCGCTGCCCACTGTAAACTAGTTTCTCGTGAGCCCGCTCTTTGTTGCGCTGAC